AGTGAAAAGAAAGGAATGCACCGCAAAAAGGACCCTTTAGGATTCTTCGATCGTTAGCTACGTGCGGCAAAGCCATAAAGTAATTGGTCAGCAAATGGCCACACGTATTTGATCCTATAGTTGATCATGCTGTTGACTAAATGTTTATCAGAAAGGAAAAAACAAAATATACAAAAATAACGAAAATTGGACATGGATTATGGTATGGCATAAAAGATGAAAAAACACTTCTACTTTATGTGAAAATATTTAAGAATATAAAACTTTATATAATAATAATTTTTTTGCTGGGATACTCTGCCGGGAAAAGATAAGTTTTCATAAAGTTCTTGAGCAAAGCATAGAAAATGCAATACAAGTGTTGAAACTGTTGAGAAAAAACTAGGCTGAAAAGTGAAAATCCCACCATTTACCCTGCTCACTGACAGCAGGAGGACGGTGTATCGCGTTCATATGAGCACTTAAGCTGGCTAAGTTCGGCTGCGCCCAAGATGGATCCTTAACCGAGGAAAAGATCAGCTGTTCTTATAGCTTCTGCACATTGCTATCATGCTTTAGCAAGAAAAACAAGGTTAAGCAAGCGCATCGTTACTCACAACAAATGTGTTACCCATATGCGTAGAGGTTAACGGTGGATGTGATATACCACTCGCGGAGGGTAAATTGAAACCTTTTTGTGGTGGCTGATGAGGGAATACCTGCAAGTACTTATCAAATGGAGAGATCTAAAGTACATTGAATCCGTTCGCTGCGTTAAAAGCACCTGACTGAAGTGAGTGGCCGTCCGCTGACCAGCCACAGCTTGTAGCGAAGGTATGAAAAGTTCAGTTGTTGGAGGAAAAATTGTCGGAGCAGGCCAAATGAACTGTGATCCACCTGCTGCAGCAGTCTGCCACTGGAAAGAAGAACTAGATGTGCCACACCATTCAATGCTATTCTTCCTTTTCAACATAAATCAAGAATGCTCCCCAGTGGAGCAGTAAAAAATACAGCATAACATGCGAAATCTACGTCAAATGACTTCTCTCAAAAACACAAACAGCATACCTGGACCTGTGCTTGTGCAGCTAAAACGGTTGGATCCATAATTGAAACAGGAACGAACTGTGGTACAAGGGACTGTGCTGCTGGTGCAAAAGAAACGTACTGGGGCTGGCGTGAACTGGCAGCAAAAGCAGCCGATCCTCCAGGAAGACCTGAATCGATTCTTTGAATGAGAACACTCCCAAAAACTACGTTCCCGTGCAAATGGGAGGAATATTTCCGTTTTTTTTTGCTCTGCTATAAAAAACACTACGCTTTTACGTCACAACTGTGCGAACGACGCTGTTTCAGTCTTGGGTGTGCGGTATCAAAAGCCATCTAGTACCTCCACAATACTTCTTCCCAGCATAAGTCGACTTTGTCAGACAGTAGTTCAACAAGTACGGTAGCTTTAGTGATTGGGGACCAACTTGCTTTACACTATTGTATTGCTTTACTGTTACAAATTTACATCGTTTGCATGGTATATACGAGGATTTACTGCAGTCATTGGGTTTGCCAAAGTGTTTTTGCCAGGTATCGGGGAGAATTCGTGTATTGTTACTCGATAACCATATATTGAAAGAGTAATTCAAGGAGCAAGTCAAAGATATGAAGAGAGACCTACACACTGAAACCAGCAACATCGCTGTATAAAAAAAAGTCAGTAGGGTTAGTAGAGGATCTTTGCTTAAATCACATTTGGCAGTCTACTGCTTTCTCTGGGCTTCCGTGTGGTGATAAGTAATTTTTCAGCTCTTGACCCATTTGAAATCATTATTCGCGAATTCGGCAATTGAGTGTCGTGTCGCGGAAGGTAGATGGCAGTAGAATAGGCACAGAGTATTTATTAGGAATAACACACATAACCAACTGAAAACGACGGGTTTATGTGCTCACCTGAGATCATTAATTAGGCGCGAAAAGTACTACCTAATACGGCAGGTAACGATCAAAAGTAATGGTCATGGTGGGTCAGTAGATCATTGCGACATCTAACAGCTCCCCTTTTTGAACACTGAAACTGAGGTGATCAAATGATATCACGAACATGATAAGTCTTCTTGTCGGGGGTCCAGCTGGAGGACGTCGCGTGCGTGTCGATCGTCGTGGTCCTCGTTTGTCGCTGCTGTCGTGACGTCGTTTGGCGGTACTGAACTTGTTGTAGTCGGCATCGAAGTTGACGATTACAGGTCGACATCTCGAACAGTGGTTCCACATCCTTGTCGTTGTGCTGTGGTGTGATGGCGGAGGTGGGCACTTTACCACCTAGCCATTCCGACTGATTTCCGCAGTTTGGATCGCCTTGGCTGAAGTCTCCGGGCGCCATGTTGCTTGTCGAATTGTAGCTCCATTAATGTGCCACGCGTTGGCATTCGTCGTAGAGTCGGCTTGAGCAGCCAGAGAACAGTTCGCAAGTTTCTTCCAATGAAGATTTCAGCCCGCGACTTCCTTCCATTCACTGTCGGATTCGGGGTTGATCGATACGTTAGAAGAAAAGTCTGTAGGGTTTCGAATAGCGTCCTCTCAACTTCGACAGCGTTCTCTTGAAGGTATCGACAAATCTTTCTGCCTGCCCGTCGGATTGTGGGTGATATGGGGGCGAGAGAATATGTCCGTCACTGGAGAACCTTTTGAAAGTGTCCGAGTGAACTGTGTTCCCTTGTCGGAGACGACCGTTTCTGGGATGCCATATCTCGCGAATGTCTGCTGCAGGAGCGAAATCGTAGCTTCTGTGGTCGCGCGATTAGTGATGAAGATTTCCGACCACTTCGAATACGCGTCTACGATTACTAGGAAAAACGTTCCTGCGAATGGTCTATCACAGTCGACGTGGATACGAGCCCATGGCGCGTCTAGTTGAGGCCATGCGGCAAGCGTCGTCTTGACTGGAAAAGAGGGCATTTCGTGCAGTGGCGTACGGCAGCTTCGATGAATTTGTCTATTCCTGGCCAGTAGACGTAGCTCCATGCTAAAGCTTTCATCCGTACTATTCCAGGGTGTCCATTGTGCAGATGTCGCAGTACTCGCGACTGGCGTAGCTGGAACGACCACTCTATCGGCAACCAGTAGACATCCATCGAGCGTTGAGAGTGCATCACGACGATTTTAGAAGCATAGCAAGTCTGGATTCGTTATTCTTGCAGGCCAAGATCCTCTGATGTTGCTGTTTATTTGCTGGAGGATACGGTCCTTCGCCGTCGATTACTTGATGTCTTCTGTGATGACTGGTGGTGCTCGGACTGCGGTGACAAATGCGTGTGTGATGCTGTCCACAGATATAGCGGCGACTACGGTGTCTTCTTCTGGAGTGGACTGGTTTGCGATGAGTCATGAGAGTGCATCCGCTTGTCCAAAGCTTCTGGTTGCCCGGTATTGAATATTGAAGTCGTGCGCTAACTTTTGTCACATTGTGTTTGCTTTGTTTGTTCTGCCGTCCTCCAGGTCTATACACAACCTTTCCTTTCGACGGTTTCTGCAAATCGTCAATATTGCGAACATGAACACGGCCTAAAAGACATCAAAAAAAGGTCGAACTTACTTTTGATCGTTTTTGGAACTGCCTATTGGAGGCAGGATACAGCATCGTGATGTGAGAAATGGTTATATCAGTACGACTCCTTTCCAGACTTTGTTGTTGTTAATTTGTTGAGTTGAGTTGAACATGAACGAACATGACCCCCTCCCGGTGTAATTTCACCCACAGTAGCGTGATCGCGCGATCGCTAAGTCTGAACGCGCTCTAACTACCGATAACGTGAAGCTGTACGAGCGCCTGGTCAACACAAGGCTGAGGGAACTCGTCGCTGTCTCGCATGAACAATTCGGCTTCATGCACCCAAGGTCCAACACTGATGTCATTTTCATCGCCAAACAGCTGATAAAGAAGTAGCGAGAGAAGCGGCGGCTCTGCTACCTAGCCATTCTGGACCTTGAGAAGGCATACGACCGTCTGCCTCGGCCTATACTCTGGAAAGCACCTAGAGAACGTAACGTTCCGGAGCACCGGGTCTCCATAGTGAAGGATATGTACGATGGGGCTAAAGCAGCTGTGCGCACCCCGCACGGCTTGACGAAAGAGGTAAACATCACGGTTGGGGTACAACAAGGATCAGCCCTCAGCCCGTTCCTCTTCCTCCTGACTCTAGATTTCATGGCAAAACAACTCATGGAGGGGCCACTAAAAACCATTCTCTACGCTGACGACATCGCCCTGATAGCGGACAGCAGGAAAGACTTCATGACAATGTGTAGCGAGGGCAGGATGTGCTCGCTGAGAACGCAGTCCGGCTGAACGTAAAGAAGACCAAGTTCCTGAGCTCCGAAGAATGTACCAAACCCATCGTAGACCGCCATGGCGAGAGCAGTGAAAGGTTGAGGACTTCCATTAGCTGCGGAGCGACTAGTGGCTGATGGCAGCGTGGACCAGGCGGTGAAGGCCCTAATCAGCGCAGCCTGGATGAAATTGAGGGAGTTCACCGGCATCCTGTGCGATCTACGGTGCTCGAGAACGCTCAAGGGCAAGGTGTACCGGGCGGTGGTAAAGCCTACAATGCTCTACGGCAGTTAGTGCTGGCCCATCTGCAAAAACCGAAACGGGGCGCCACTCAGCTAAAATGAGGGTGCTGAGATGGGCCTGCGCATGGACACGACTCGACAGAGTCAGAAACGAGGGCGTCAGGACGGTCACTCAGACGGCTCCGATCCAGCTGAAGGCACGAGAGCAGCGACTGCGATAGTATGGGCACGCACTGAGGAAGCCTGAAGATGGCCCAATAAGGAACGCATTGGAATTCGAAGTAGAGGGCAAGCGACCACGAGGAGCCCTAAAGAAAAGATGGAGGAACGTCATCAAGAAGGACCTCACTGAAATGAAAGCCATGGCAGAAGATTCAGTGGATCGAAACAAGTGGCGAAGGCTGACAAGAGCAGCGGACCCTGCGACGGCGCGTGACTAGAGCTAAGGAAGAAGAAGTGCTAGGTCAACTTCCTCTTCTCCCTAGCATGAGAGACTTAGGTTCCTTCGAAATCACCTGCGCACCACCTCGGATCCTGCGAGAGACAACGTACGACAATTTGATAGTGGACGCTGGAAGAGACATACGTAGCAGTAGATGAAGAAGACCCATTATGGAGTCTAGGAAACGAAGAATACCAATGACCAAGACTGGCAGTGTAGCTTGTAAAGTCCGTATTGCAATGTTAAACGTTGGAACCTTGACCGGACGTTCATGTGAATTAGCAGAGGCACTTGAGCGCAGACTAATCGATCTCTGTGCAGTGCAGGAAACAAGATGGTCCAGTTGCAAGTCGAGAGACCTTGGCCGGGGCTTTGAAGCAATTCTTTGTGACAAGCTAAGGACTACTAACGAGTGGCCATAATCGTCTTTCAACGTTTCCGTGGCTTGATAGCTAGCGTGGAACGTTTCGACGATCTTTTGATGAAGACTGTCCTTGCTGTCGAGCAACGACTGTACTATTTCTATTCGGCATATTCTTTTTGGCACTGAGCGTGAGCCCAGTGCCATGGATTCTGATGAAGCCCGTCTCGTTTGTCGTTGTCAAGTTCTCCCTCTTTTGAACTTTTAGCCTGAGCTCATAGTGCGCCAAGCGGCCAGCCCAAACTTGCACCTATTGCCCTAGCGTGTTTTTATGTTCGCATGCAAGCATAACATCATCAGCATAAAGAATCGTTCAAAGAACATCTTTCTGGAGGTTTCGTGAGATGGCCTCCATGACGACAACGAATAAGTGTGGAAAGTGCAGAGCCTTGGTGTACCACGACGGTGAAAGAAAATTCCATCGTAGTGCCTGAAGATTCAGTTGCTTCTATCCAGCATGTGAGTTCCACGTGGGATGTTGGTGTACCCGTGTTCCGAAATGCAGAAATGACTTCTTTTGGAACGAGGCACCTCAGCCACTGAGGTGAATAGTTGTTACGTAATTTTTGTTTGCTTTAGCAATGCTTGCATGTCCTTCTAACAGCCTAACACAAGTCCGACATTTGCAGCGATTCAGTTTTTTTTTCTTAAGCAGCCAAAATCAGCTCCTGTACGCCCAGTTGGTTCGAGATTAAGTGGACGTCTATTGCCACGGAAGCAAAATCAGCAAGTAATAGGAAATTTCATTAGTAACACAACAATAGGCGTAACGAAAATAGGTGAGATCAACAGAAAGTAGAAAATTGCAAGAAGGAGTCGGGCGGCGTGAAGGTGAATTGGGTG